TACTGAACCAGCCAACTCCCATTCTCCCAACACCCCCTGCATCTGTCCTGTCACAAGATCTGGATGAAAATAGAGGATGCATCAGCCCTGCCACGGATCCCATTACTGCCTGCAGCCTCAGCTGCATTTCCTGCATCAAAGGTGGCTCTGGGGCTGCAGCCCTGCCTGCCCAGAGCAGCAGCAACAGCCGTGGCACCAGGGCCTGCCACCCCTGGGCTCTGCCCCCTCTCTGACCTGGTTTTCAGCCTGAATTTACCTGGGACCTTTGGTCCCCCCATCCCTGGGCAGGGCGGGAGCACTGAGCCCACCCTGAGCGGGTCCAGAGCAAACACAGATTCCTGAAAATCCCCCCCCATTTCCCAACCCCAGCTCTGTTCCTGTAGAGGCAAGTGGAGACATTAATCTTCAGGCACAAGCAGAATTTTCATCTTGTTCCAACGCTGTGTGATTTCTGCTGCAAACACCAGCTCTCCATCCCAATTATTATTCACGTGTAAGAATTCAGATAACTCCCCCTGCTCTTAAGCACAGCTCTGTGTGACTCTACCCCACAGCTGCTGCTGCTGCTTCTTCAGAGGAATCTCAAAGCAATTTGCACTTGCTTTGCAGGATAAACCTCCCATTGTGTGCTGTTCCCCAAAAATCAGCTTTTCCGGCAGCTGCCTGCAGATCTGGAGCTCTCGGGACTGAGGCTGCTGATGCCCCACATTTGTCCCAGTCACAATTTAGCTGAAGTACATAAATTCTTGGGTCAAACTCAGAAGCAAAGCTGTAACAGGGTCCCAAAAATGCTCTGAGGAAGTTTTCACATGGCCATGGGTGCTTTAAAAGAGGTCAGCACCTCCCCTGGACAGCCCAACGTGCTGTGGCACGAGGTTTGCCATGGAATCAGAGCCACTGAGGCTGGAAAAGCCTCCAAGGCCATCGAGGCCAAGTGTGAGCAGTCCCCACCTTGCCCAGCAATCCTTGGACACCTCAGGGATGGGGAATCCAAAGCTCCCAGGGCAGCCCTACCCATGTTTAACCCTTCCCATGAAGAAATTCCTCCTGAAATTGCTTTTTGTGAGAATCGTTAAGGTTGGAAAAGACCTTTGAGATCATCAAGTGTCACTGTCAACCCTGCACCAGCAGCGTGGGCAGCACCAAACCCTGCCCCAGGTGCCATGGTCACATATTTTCTGGGCACTTCCAGGGATGGTGACTCCATCCTGCATGTGTCACTTATCCTGGGAAGGTCTGGAATCTGCATCACTCACTCTGTGGAGAGGGATTATCTGCTTTACCACCAATGCAGTGGAAAGTACTGCATTTAAAGCCATACATTTATTTTAATCTGAATTTCACCCTTGATTTTGATCTGTTTTTCCCCGTTCCACGCACACCACAAACCCAAACCCCAGGAACAGCTCTGTGCAGGCAATCCCAAAGGCAGGCAGGCAGGAGCAGGAGCTGCCATTTGGCTCTGGGGTCACTTCAAAAGGCATCGTTGCTAATGAGCAGCTGCATTTCCCCACCAGGAACCCAGAGCGGCCCTGCTGCCAAGCCCTGCTCATTTCCATCCCTGTGCACAGCCAGCCCTTTGCTCCATGCTAATGTGTTTTCCTAAACAAAAGGAGCCACAGCCAGCCCAGAGCTGACCTTCACATTCGCTCCTGTGATTTGGATGGCTCAAAGTCTATTTGCCTGGTGGCTCTTTTTATTTTTTTTTTTATTTTGGGGGGGGGTGGTGGGATGAAAAGCGACACATTAATTCCTGAAAAACATGCGCAAAGGAAGCATCCAGGAGAGAGGAGAGGAGCTGCTGGGAGCCGTAGTTCCCTGCCAGACACACCCTCAGCCCAGTGATTCCCATTCTCCCAGTTTACAAACAGCAAGGAAAACACAATTCTGTTTCCTCGTCGTTTTCAAAGCTCCTTATTTACAAGTGAGTCGCTTCGCTTGTTTCAAATCCGTGGGAAAGGACAGAGTTGGGAAATAAACGAAGCAATAAAAACCCTCTTCACACAGCACCTGGAAAACCCTGCCCTGGTAGCATCAGATCCTTGAGGCTTCCTCAGAATTCTCTGCGTAAAAGCCACGACACAAATCCAGGGGAAACAGCTCCTGCCAGGCTGCTTAGAGAGGCATCTGGGGAAGTTCATAATGCCCATCTCGAGGTGAACACACTGCAAAAGCGATGCTTCCAAAACCAGCCCCGAAACCCACCAAAAAACCCCAGAAATGTGCCTTTTTTCTATCACCAGGTGTGTAAAATAACCTGGAGGAAAACCGCGGGATGGCCTTTTTTAAATGAGGAAATTAACTGTGCTTTGTCTGCTCCCCGAGCTATCCCTCTGCTCCTCGCAGACTGATGGCAGCAGATGCAGGATCCCCTCCTCCTCCTCCTCCTCCTCCTCCTCCTCCCCCAGCAATTGGTTCTGCTTCCCTGGCAGCCCGTGCAGGAAACCCATGGCATCGCCCTCCCACCCCAAACAAACAGGAAAACCATCAAAAAACCCCCCATGGCATTCTCTGTCCGGGAGGAAGCAGCGCCTGTACCCAACGGCAGAGCAGTTATCCTTAAAATACATTTCTGGAGCCCAGCCAGGAAAAGTGAAGGCACTTTCAGCCTGGAGAGCAGCCACAATGTTTAACACTTAAAAACCGGCTAGTCGTGAAGTTACTCATTTGAAATGTCCTTAAAAAAACCTCTGACAAAACCAAGACCCAAAAAAAAGCCGCCAGCCCAAGAGTCAATTTGGGAATTTTCGAGTTCATGTGTCAAGGGGATAAAGTTGATACAAAATCCACTCTATTCTTCAGGAAACCACAGTTCTCAGGATGTACATGAAAGGAGAGGAGCCATCTGCTCTGTCTATAAATCAGCTTCTAAATTATCAGAGAATGTTTTAATTTTACAGCAGACTAAATAAAATAAATCATCACTATCACAGGCCACGGGGGTACACACGAAATGTGGAATTATTCTAAAAGACATAAAAGGCACGGTTTGGTTGTGAGCCTACCCCACAACTGTGCTCACACAACAGTTCCCTCACTGATGAATATCTCCCTCTTGCCTCCTCTTACATTTAAGCTTAAGGTTTTTTTAGCAGCACAATCATAAAATCAATAAAAATAAATAAAACACCCTCTTGCACTGACATCTCCACAGCTTTGAAAGCAAAATTCCTTCTCCCCCATCACAGACTGGTGAGCTCAGCTGGGCAAAAAAAGAAGGAACACGACCAGAGCATCCTTTAGGGTGGAAAGCAGAGCTGGATGTGCTTGGTGCTGCTTTCACCACAAACACTGCTGCTGCTTTGTTCTAGCTTTTTAATATTTTATTTGGTTTTTGTGTTCTCCATTTTATGCTGATTTAACAGATCCAGCTGTGCAGCTCCCTAGGCAGTCTCCATATTCATAATTATTATTATTGGATAAACATGTATTTGAGTGGGGCAACAGATGATATGCAGATAATTTTTTCTTTTGCTTACTCCCATTTATTTCCCCTGAAAAAAAAAAACCAAAAAAACCCAAAAAAAAAATCCCCAAAGCAAGGCGCTTTATTGTGCCCTCCCGCAGCTGGGAAGGCGGTGGGGATGTGTCGGGAGGCGGTGGCAGGCTGGCAGCAGCGATGCCAGCGGGGATGGGAGGGTGTGGCCGGGCAGGATGCGGAGCTGGGCACGGCAGGAGCGGCTGGAACGGGAGCGCGACCCCCGCGCTGCGCACAGACCCTCCCACGACCGCTCTTCTCTTTTATTTTAATTCAAGGGAGGCTAAGCAGCAGCGCTTCGCCGCGGGAGAGGCGGGCAGGGCTCGGGGTGGGTGCTGTGCTGGTGTTAAACAGGTGGCTCGGGTTTGGCGGCAGCCCTGGGGACACTGGTGGCACTGCTCCACCACGACAGCCACCGCCACCACGAGCGCAGACAGAGCCCCAGCAGCCGTAATTGCTTAAGGAGATAAAAATCCTCAGCGTGGGGAGGGGTGGTGGGCATGGAGGCAGGAATGGAGCACGGCAAGGACACACCGACAGCTCCGGGAGCGCGGGGACACGGACACGGCACCGGGAAAAACGCGGAGCGCAGGGGGCTGCCCGCCGAGAGCGGGGACAACGGCGAGCTGCGATGGCACAGCCAGCCCGGGATGCTCTCCAGGGACTGGGAACGAGGGCTGAGGAGACACGACAGGACGGGACAGGCAGCAAACACCGGCGGAGCCCAGCGCGGCTCGGGAGCGCTCCCCGGGGAGCGCCAGGGAGGAGGGACAGACGGACGGACGGACGGACGGACGGACGGATGGATGGATGGATGGGTAGCACACAGATGCAGCTCGGAGCAGGGATGGAGAGCACAGGGATGGATAACACAGGAATGGAGAGCACAGGGATGGAGAGCACAGGGACGCAGCCCGGAGCAGGGATGGAGAGCACAGGGATGGATAACACAGGGATGCAGCTCGGAGCAGGGATGCTGGCTGGGGCGGGGCCGGCGCAGGTGTGGCCGCTCCATCCTGCCGCTCGCAGCCCACCTGCCGCTCCCGGACCCGGGGGTGGCGACCCGGGCGGTCACCGGCGGCTACCGAGCGGCCACGGCGGGGCCACCGCACCACCGCTCGCGCCGGGGGCCGCTCCACAACGGCAGCGCCCCGCGCCCCTCCTTTTTCTTTCTTTTTTTTTTTATTTTTTTTTCCCCTCTCCCTCTCCTCCTCCTCCTTTCATTATTCCAGCCGCTCCACGGCATCCCTCGCTCCCTCCCTGGCCGCGTCCGTGCCCCGCGGGCGGAGGGCGGCGGCCGCGGGAGCATCCTCGCGGTGCGCACCGAGCCCGCCGCGACCCCGCACGCAGCATCCCCTCCGCGCCCATTGTCTGCGCCCCCCGCGCACCGACCCACGGCCCCGGGGGAGCCCAGCCCGGCCCAACCCAGCCGCCACCTCCTCCTCCTCCTCCTCCTCCCGCTGCGGGCAGCCCGGGGTCCGCCCGACCCCATTGTTCGCGGCGCGCCCCCGCCCCGCCGTACCTGCGGCTCGCAGCAGGACGAAGGCGCAGGGCAGCACGGCGAGCGGCAGCAGCATCGCACCGGCGGAACGGCGAGCCGCTCGCCGGGGCTGCGGGCGCGGGGAGGGCGCGGGGAGCCGAGCCCGGGGTGGCCGCTCCGCTGCGCTCGCTGCGCCCGGCGCGTCCCGGCGCCGCCGCGCTGACTGACAGCGCCGCAGCGCGCCCCCGCGATCCCTGCGCCGGCCGCACGGCCGCGGATCGCTCCGCCGCGGCAAGTAGTGCCGCGCCGCGCCGGGGGGGTGGGGGATGGAGAGCTTTGTGTGGGGGGGTGAACGAGGGAAGGGGTGAGGGAATGGTTAGTCGTGGTTATTGATTGGTTTTTGTTAGCGTGGCGGCGTTGTTGGTTGTTATTGTATGTTTATTGCATATTGTTGCTTATTATTGCATATTAATAATATAATGTCATATAATATAATACTATATAATATACTATAATATACTGTACTATACTACAATATAATATAATATAATATAATATAATATAATATAATATGTCATATAATATAATATAATATGTCATATAATGTAATATAATATAATGTCATATAATATAACAGCATATCATATCATATCATATCATATCATATCATATCATTAATATAATATAATTAATATAATGTCATATGTCATATACTATAATATCATATAACATAACATAACATAATATCATATAATATCATATAACCGGGGGGTGGGGGATGGAGAGCTTTGTGTGGGGGGGTGAACGAGGGAAGGGGTGAGGGAATGGTTAGTCGTGGTTATTGATTGGTTTTTGTTAGCGTGGCGGCGTTGTTGGTTGTTATTGTATGTTTATTGCATATTGTTGCTTATTATTGCATATTAATAATATAATGTCATATAATATAATACTATATAATATACTATAATATACTGTACTATACTATCATAACATATCATATCATATCATATCATATCATTTCATATCTACAACACAATACCTTATAATATACTATAATATACTATACTATAAGTTATATTATAATACTATATATGGTATATTATATAGTATTGATATTATTGTTGTTATCACATTATCGTTAATTATCATAGCATCATTATTCATTATTTTCATATCATGCTATAAGATTAGAATAGAAATTATTCTAACGTGTGTATAATGTGTATTTAATAGATTTGTAAATATGTGCATATGATATGTATTATGTGCTATAGAAAATAGGTAGTTAATATTTATGCAAATAAGTATTATTATATTATTATATATTGCAATATGTAGCACACTATTCTATTCTATTCTATCTATTCTATTCTATTCTATTTTATTTTATTCCATTCCACCGAATTCCATTCCATTCCATTCCATTCCATTCATTACTATCACATTATATTATAGTATTAGAATATAAATTCTTCTGATGTGTACATAATACGTATTTAATACGTATGTAAATATGTGTATATTATATAGGTGCTATAGAAAATAGGTATTAATATTTATGCAAAAATGTGTATATACTATGTATTATATGCTATGGAAAAATGTATATATTATGTATCATATGCCATATAAAAAGACAATGATGTGTGTAGCTTGTATCAATTACAGCATATTATGGATCATGTAATAGCAATTATGCTAATGTTAACAGTAACCCCAGAGCAGAACAAAGCAGGGTTTCACACCTTTGTTTTTGTTTGCATGGGCAGATGGTGACAGGACAAGGGCGATGGTTTCAGGCCTGGAGAGGGGATGTGTAAATGGAATTTTGGGGAGGAATTCCTGCCCCGTCCCTGGGAGTGTCCAAGGCCAGGGACAGTGTCCTTGTCCCCTTGTGAAAATGACCTTTAGAGCATCCAGAAAATGAAACTGTGGCAGTGCACAGGCTGCTATTGACACAATTTCATAAACTGAGGGGTTTCCATGAAATCCCAGCCGTCTTCTCCACAAAAATCAACACATCCTTGCAAAGCAGGAGTATTCCTCGGTGGTAAACAACAGTCTTGGAGAGAACATTCCATCAATTAAGGCAGCCCTTCTTCCCTGCAAGCTGACATCCCCAAAAATTGGAACAGAAGGATCTGTGAAGAGAGAATATTGCAGACAACAAACACCATGAATTATTGTGTACTGTGGGGGAGCAGTTGTTTGTGTTGGAGATATCAGCAGATCTTTATTGCTATTTAACAATATTTTAGGCCGTGATGTGGGAGTTTCAACTCCCAGGGTGGATAAGGGGAAGAACTCACATGGAAATCAGCAGAGGAAAAATCACCCAAACCCCCTCCAGCTCAGGGATGTGGCAGAAAAAAGGAGAATCTGGAGACACCTGGAGCAGAATTCCAGAAATATGAGCTTTTCTCTTCAAAAGACTTGACAGAGCAAAGACACCAAGTGCCTAGCCTGAATTTAAGCCTCCAAGTAATTCAAAAACAAAATCATGGGTTTTATGATGAAAATCCGATGGAGACGAGTCCCAGGCATATCCAAATGGAATGAGGTGCTCCAAGTACATTACCTGACACATTTCCCTTTTTTTTTGGCCATTAACAGAGGTTTATGGGCCATGCCTCTGCATTTCTTTTTGTTAATATATAAAATGAAAAGGGGAAAAAAATCCCATCAATCAATAACTGAAGTGCAAGTCTCAGTTCCTGGCTTCACTGGGTACTTGGCATAAAAGTGAGGAGGAAATTTGAAGTTTTCTGCCACATTTAAAAGCAGCAGCAGTGGAATCTGTCAAATTAATTCCACTTCTGCTATGCAAATATAATAAAAGTGAATTTTAACTATACAGGCATTTCACAAATATTAGACCCAGATTTTTAAACCACAAAGCAGAGTTCTCCCTTCTTTGTAGGCTCTGGAAAAGGGGAATAATTAGGGAATGCACCTCAGAATTCCTCCTGGCCAGAGGGGAATTATTCTGTGCTCTGCAGATGTTTATGGTGATGGATAACAACACTATGCAAAATGACCTCAAATCAATATTCTTCACAGCCAGGCAATAAAAGCAGAGATAGTCCCTTGAAACATCCCTCTCTTTGCCATGGATTATTTTTAAAAGTCTTAATATAGAAGAAAAGTAAGAGTATGTCGCTTTCCTTGTTTAGACAACGTGCCTCACAAAGATATTCCTGTGCTCTGCTGATGTCACCAACCATAGGAATGAGGGTGAAGTCATCAGAACTGGAGAGGTAAAATTACAGGCCAGAAACTCAGGATGTGAGCACTCAAAACCTCTGCTCTATGTCCATACCTGGAGCCAAGCCCTGGATTTCTCCTGGAGTTCTGCTTCCCACATCCAGGGGATCTGCCCAGAGCTGGGAGGAAATGGATAACAGTGGAGCTGTCAGTCATGGAAATAGCCAGGGAAAGGATATTCCACTTGGTGGCCATGCTCTGTCACCCTGACTCACAGCTCACATGTCACCCAGCTGATGGCATTCCTGGAAGTCACCTGGCACTTGTGGGAATACAGGAAATCTTCCATCTCTGAAGATCAAATGTTACATTGAACCTGCATGCTTCCACCTATGAAACAATTACACACTGCCAGCGTGCACTAAATGTCTCATTTTAATATTTTTAACCTACCCAGTCAACTCTGGTGCTTCAATTCAAAGGAGAAAAGGATTCTCAGCTGAACAGAATCACAGAAATTAAAAGGGGTGTAAAGAGTACATGAGGATTAATTGACTGTTCTCTTCCACTCTCCCCATGGTGTCACTGGTTTCTGTTTTAATTTAAAATATTAGAGGTATTTAAAGCACCTCCATCACCCAGTGCCTCTAAATAGCAGACATCAGCATCACTAATACCTGTCTATTTTAAAAGAACAGCTGTCCTAGTTGCTGCTTTTATTTATAATAATATTTATTCCAAGCCTCACCATCGCATCACGTGCATTGATGCAAGTGTAAAACCAGTGTGTGCAAAATTAGCATAGAAGAGACTAAAACAAGAGGGTGTCTCATGGTAGCAAGCAATAAAGGATTGTTTTAATTGAAAAAATCCATCCCTCGGTCTGCTTTGATTTAAAAGAAGCATAAATATGCCTGGCAGGAATGCTGAAGCACATGTGAAAGCTCTGAGGAGCCACATTCCCTGCACGTGGAGTGCACTGCCAGACCCACACTCAGCACATTTATCCCCCAGAGCTGCCTCTAAAGCATCAATGACCAGTGGGCTCACTTTGAAACTCAACGAAGGCTCCCCCATCCCCCAAAAGTAAAGAGCTGTCCAAAACACGACAAAACAAAAAAAAAAAGAGTAATTTACAACTTTTTGCTCCTCTCTTTCCTTACCACAGGGAGCTCCTTGCCAGTCAGAGCTGCAGAAGATGAATCCACTGGAGCAGAACTGTGCTTTAATTTTTCCTCTTGCTGAGAGGCAGCTAAACAGGATTATGCTGATTGCCCACAAGGCAGGCAGGTAGGCAGTCATTCCAAGAGAAGAAGGAATAATTCCATTTTTAAATCAGCCCAGAGCAGAGCTGAATGTTTCCCCAACATTCTTTGGTTGTGACTGGGTTTCAGGCACAGAAGAAAGAATAAAACTTGTAACAGAATCTCACTCTCTGACTCTGTGTTATGTCAGCCTCACATTTCTCTAAAAATATTGTGGAGAGGATAAAAATATGAGTAAAGGAGTGTTTCTATTTTTACATAATGGTCTTAAGATGGTGCTGAAATGCAATGAGAAAGAAAAAGATCCTGGAAAATTCTTGCTGTTGAGGCAAAAATCATTTTTTTCTGGAACTGAATACATCCTTTGCTTTGTTACCAAAGCCTGGATGGAGGCTCTGGGATTTACAGCATCCAGGTTGTTTTGAGGCAGCTTCCCAGGCACATCAGAATGCTAAAATTCAGCCATGAAACCTTTGGGCACCACTTTTGGAATTTAATCTTTGCCATCACCGGTCTGAGGGCCCGAATTCACTCGTGAGCATCACCCCCAGACCCCAGGGCAGCTGCTGCCCCTCCAGTCCTGACCATGATTTTAAGAGCTCCTGGATCTATCCTTAGTCAGTTTTTACTGCTGCTGCTCTTGTGCTCATCTGAATTAAAGTGGTATTCAGGGATTTCCTAAACACAAGATGCTGCTCCACAGGCAGGTTCTTCATACAAAGCACTCACCAATAA